TCGCCCTGGCCAGGACGATGGCAGCCCGCTCAGATAAGGCTTTCGTATATGCGGGTCTACTGAGAGCCTCTATGCGTGTAAGTGATACCTGCCGGGCTCGTTGGTAGTGCGCCATCTTGTTGGGACGGCAGGTCCGGTAAGTCCGGATGCACTGCTGGTGTTTCGACGAGCATTTCCAACAGAAGACGGAAACTAGGCCTTGCTTGGTCAATTGGGTACGACCAATGATAATATGCAGGTGTGCACCTGTCGAAGTTTTCTCCGGTACCCGGTGAACTAGCGGAAAGGGGGGAAAGGCGTACACAACTAAGTGGGTCCACAGGGTTAGCAAAGCGACCCTGGCCCAGGCTCCTGGAGTCAGCAGGAGTGTTACGTACGTCGGGAGCTTGACGTTCCAAAGTGCGACAAACTGGTCCAACCTTTGACCGTCCCACAGCCGAAACAGCCTGAAGGCTACCCACTGGGGTATCAGCCACTCCGTGTTCTGGAGACAGAGCCGTCCTGAAAGGGTGTCGCCAGACTGTTCCTCACCTCTGGAAGATGGTGTGTGGTTAGCTCCACATTGTATTCCAGGCACCAACGATGGGGAATGCATCGCCCCCCCCCCCCTTCTTGAAGGAGACCACCACTGCGTTGCCTGTGCGGAGCAGGACTCTGTGGTTTTGAACTACGGGTAGAAAGCGTGGTAGTGCTAAGTACACTGCTCTCAGTTCGAGCCGGTTGATATGGTATCCCGAAACTAATGCGGGGGCCATATCCTTGGGCTTGTTGGTCCAATAGATGTGCTCCCAGAGTCATACCTGCAGCGAGTGGGTCCAAGGGGCCCCCTTGTCTGTGGTTGGCCAGTGACGGCCACCAAGACCACCTTCACTTGGTCCGGGATCGAAACCCGCCTATCTAGTTCCCATAGGAGAGCTCGGCAGTATAACAAGCGTTATACCGGGCGGCTGCGTAGTGCGGCCTGGGGAACGACCCTTTGAACTGAGGTCATCATTCCGATGATCGCCATTAGTTCTCGGAGGGACACTGAGGGAACGCTGACTAGGCATTCGGCTAGGCTGCTTAGGGCTAAGCAACACGCTTGAAATAGCTAAGCCAAGCTTACCTCTGTGTCCAAACTCCTGCCCAGGGACACCAACTGCGTGTTGGGTCGAGGTGGGACTTGTCAATTTACTAACGAGCCCAACTGGTGAAGTAAATCCTGTGTTAGCCTGACGCGTTTGGCTATTAACCCCTTGCCCGGGTTGTTAGTAACCAGTAGTCTGGGTACGGATTGAGGTGTACCGACATCTGGTGAAGCGGCAGCACTACCTGTTTCATCACTCGGGTGAACACGTAGGGCGCTGTGCCTAACCCGAAGGGGGGGGGGGCACCCAAAATTCGAATACTTGGCCCAGGTGGGCAATTCGAAGGAGATGACAACTCGCTGGGTGCATCGGTACGTGCAGGTAGGCCCCGCTTAAGTCTAGCGGGGCTAGCCAGTCGAAACGGTGGATGGAGAGGAAAACCCTGAATGGTGTCTCCATGTGGAACCGATTGAGGAGCACGTACTGATTCAGTCTGCCTAGGTCCAGAACTGGACACCCGCCACTTGTAGATTTGGTACTATGAACACATTTGGGTAGAAGCCTGGGCTTAGTTCCGGCTGATGTACCGTGTGTATGGCGCCTTTTCCCAGCAAACTGCTACTTCCTGTCTGATTGAGTCGCCTGGCAGTGCCCTACAGGGGAGACACTGATGGGGGGAATGGAGATTTCAGTAGTATCCCTTAACAGGATGTCATGTGTTTGAATGCAAACATGCTTTCGTGTTTCTTCCTGCTTGCCCAACGAGGGGCCGCAGTGGAGACAGCTCGCTTCGACTGTGTCTGATCTACCCGGCCTGCCAGGGACGCAATTGCCCCGACAGTCCCTCGACCAAAGTCCTCAACTCGGAGGCAAACCGGGCGCCGTGCGAGGAAGGGTCCACAAAGGGACCCGCAACGGGCCCCACAGGAGGAAAGCCTCCAGGGCACAGCCTCGCTGCAGCCAGTAAAATCGGGTAAACCAAGAAAAATATCGGTACCTCCACCATCCGACCTCCTACTCGACGTCCCGGTACAACCGGTAGTCGAGTGTGAGGACTTTCCACTCATGCCAAACACGCAACTCATTTTAACCGATTTGTTTACTGGACGCGAGACCTTGCTGTGACGCGGTCAGTCTCAGCGATTTTGATGGCTCTGAAAGAAAATCTCAGGCCTCAGAACTCCAGTGAAAAACACACACCTTCACGCAAAAACCCTGAACCCCGCACGCAGCTACGACGAAGTATCTGGAATG